ACCTCAGGTAAGCCGTTACACCACAATGGGCAAGTCAGCATAGAAAAGGGGCAAGCTCGTCCACTAACAAACTGACTTGCTGGCCCAGAGCTCTCAGGACCATGCAGGGAGAGTTGCTGAAGGGCTCCCTGCATGGTCTTTGTGCCAATTGCAAAGCGTGAGCATGCCTAATCATGTGCTAGCTGGGGTCAGTTCCCTTATGTCCTCAAATGCAGTATACCAAGGAACTGCAATGTCCCTGTGGAACTCCCTTCCCTTTTCCGTTAGACACTCACACAGTCTCCACTTGTTCAAAAAATAATTAAAAACTCACTTTTTCACAAAAGCATATCAATTAAACTAAAGAAAAAAAAGGTTACTTGCGCTCTTTCCACATCCCTATGTATTTTTAAACAAATAGAGGTTTTTAGTTACCTCCAATGGCCATGAGAGGGTATGCCCACCCGTCACATCACGGCAGACCTCTTGCAATGCTTCAGCAAACCAAGACATTTTGGACAATGCTATGCTTCCATATATTATGTGGGGATCATACCACTTCACACCATACCTGTGGAGCCACTCAATAGGCTCCAGTACACATGAGTGCACATCTTTTATAGCTATATATTTTAATTTTGAGTCTGGCAAAGTGCACTATATATTTCTGATTTTTCCTATATATCAACAAGAGAAGCAGCATCCACAAAAACCTCCTAGAGAGTCTGTACTCCACCATATCCTCAGCTGCATCTAAGCTCCTATAAAGTGTGAGTGCATATAATTTTATTTACCCTCACCTTTTTGAATTTTATGTACTTCACTAGCACTTTTCTATTTCTCCTCCTTTTTATGTTATATATATATATATACACACACACACACACACACTCCAAGGACATTCCAGGCGCTGCACCTCTTTCTCTGTTTTTATTTAGAAAAGTATAGTATAAAAAGGTCGCCTGACACTGACATGGTACGTCTTCACACTCCTAGGGCTTCAAAGTAAACAAGAAAGCAAATTTCCTCATTCCTCATTTCCCCATTCCTCCGCCCAATTAATACACTGTCCTCCTCCCCCCCACTTCCTACACTACACAGGAAGGCCCCCCAAGTCCCCTGTCATGCCAATGCATGAGTTGGCATTTGATACATGTTATGAGTTGTTTTTGTGCAAGTTGGGATAACAATCTATTGTAGGCTTTGATCTAACACCAGGCCTAAGCCATAAAACCTCTAGATAACCATCATCAGAGCTGGACACAGGATGTCATAAAAGGTATTGGTGCATATGCTCTGACTTAGGGTTACTTAAAGGACAACACAACTTAAGAAAATATGGAGTGGGCAATAAACTGCCTGGCCAAACCACTCTGATCCACCCAGAGGTCTGCCCACTTAGAAACATCCAGTTTTGAGTTATATAACAAGGGTGTTGGACTATCCCGGGGGAATTCTTTTTTCAACAACTACTTGGAGACCTGTAACATCTGAATTTCCCACAAGAATTATATATAAGGGGTAAATATATGTAAGGATTCCTTGTGTTTTCTCCTATTTTATTTTATGACCTGTTTTGCAATTTATCTGTGTTTCTGTATGTCATTTATTTTTGTACACAGTACTGTGAATTATTTTTGTCAGATTAAATGTTTACTTAATCAGCTTGTGTCTTTGATCTCTATGAGCTCACTCTTCTGAGGAAAGCTCAGGTAAACACGTTACCAAAAGGGTTAATAATATTTGTCTGATCAGTAAAGTAAGGTTGTGATCCAATAATTCTGTGTGTGGGGTAACCGAAGACGCCCGGATATAAAGTCTTGGTGGTGGCAGCAAAGTGTGTACTAGGGTGTTAGTGTAGAATGGATTGCAGGGGGTTAATTTAGTGGTTGCTGGGACTCAGGGCCGGCCTTAGGCTTTTAGGCGTCCTGTGCGAAAAATCTTCACAGCGCCCCCTCCCTGTCATCCATGTATGATGTAATGTTTGTGTTGTCTGTGTATGTGATAGGTGTGATGACTGTGTGTGATATTTATGCTATGTGTTGGCTGTGTGATGGTTATTTAATTCAGATAAAAACATGCATTTAGGCCTGTGTGTGAATGCAGGTGTAATTTTTTGAAGAGTTATGTGCACATAGTCCCACAGTCAGATGCACACAGTTATACATATACACTGTCAAATCGCAGGCAGATAGTCACATATACAGGATCAGGCAGTAACACACATACACAGTTACAGGTAAACACACTCACACACAATTACAGGCAGACAGCCACACACACACAGGCAGACAGCCACACACACACAACCACACATACAGTCTTAAACACACATACTTCCATGCAGGCAGCCACACACATGCACACAGGCAGACAGCCAGACACACACACACACAGACAGCCACACACAGGCAAACAGCCACACACACACACAGCCACACACATACACACACACACACACACACACACAGGCAGACAGCCATACACACACAGGAAGACATCCACACACACAGAGACAGGCAGTCACACACACACAGGCATACAGCAACACACACAGGCGGACAGCCAAACACACACAGGCAGTCACACACAAACACACACACACACACACACACACAGGCAGTCACACACACACACACAGGCAGACAGTCACACACACACACACACAGGCAGTCACACACACACACACACACACACACACAGGCAGACAGTCAAACACACAGGCAGACAGTCATACACACACACACACACAGGCACAGTAGCGTACACACAATCAATTGCCTCTCTCCAATTCTCTCCCCGATCCGTGGGCCCCCCAACATATACATAGACACAAACACATACACACAGACAGACACCCCACGACAGACACATACATACAGAGACACAGACACATACAGAGACACACACACACAAAACAGAGACACAAATACATTCAGAGACACACACACATACACAAAATTCTTCCTACGTTTTGTTACTTTCCCTGGAGTCCAGTGGGGGCTCAGCCTGATGGGAGTCTCTGACTCCCTCTTCCTTCCTGCTTCCTCCCATGCCGGCTGATAGCGACGCTAGTGACGGGGAGTCACTTCCTCCCAGCAGTGATGTAGTCACAGGGGGTCCGGTCGTGCTGTTAAAGCGCCCAGTGCTGACCAGGCCCCCTCACAATCCATATCCATCGGGTGGCCCTGACAGCACTTGGAGTGACGGGCCCGGTCGCAGCTGCGACCCCTGCGACCGTGGTATGTACGCCGCTGCGCAGACAGTCATACACACACACAGACAGACAGTCAGGCACACACAGACAGTAACACATAGTTACCGCTGTTCATTGTGGAGGCAGTGCAGCTCCTGGAGACTTTTTGTTGTGGAAACAGGAACTCCTTCCTGCTTCCCCTGCAGCAGTTATTCAGCGCTTTTAGCTCCGCCCCCGCTGCACGTATGCTCTGCCTCCGTCGCATGGGAAGCTCTGCCCCCGCTGCACGGGAAGCTCCGCCCCACCGCAACTTTTTAATTTTTTTAAATCCCGGCCAGCCATGTGTGAGCTGTGATGGCCGCAGGGCGCCCCCTGGTCCATGGCGCCCTGTGCGGCCGCACAGCTGGCACACCCCTAAGGCTGGCCCTGCTGGAACTAGCGAAATGAAACCAGGGGTCTGGTGTCATTAACCCTTTCACTTCCACACTCTCCCCATTGTCTCAACTGGGCCAATAGCCTACGCTTGTGACACCCCTCTTTCCCTACCTTAAGATGAGCCGCCCGTCCCATAGTTCCACCCCTGCTCTTATCTGCTCAAGCAGGCTAGATGCTCCTCTTGCACTGCGAGCAGGAGGGAAAGGGGTGTGGCTGGCCAGCTCTGCAAACAGCTACTCTGCGCACTGTAGAGTCGCCACTGCTGCGCAGCCGCTGGAAATGACTTCACACACATATCTGGCAGCCAGCGTGGACTAATGCTTAGCGCTCTTGCGGCCGCTGGAGCACGCGATTGCTCGTAGCAGGGCAGACAGGAGAGATCTTTGTTGTCTTGCTTCTGGTCACAGCCACAGCACGAAGCTGCCCCAGGGCAGGCGGGCCATAAAGATAGTCATTGTGAGCCGCAGGTTTGACATGATTGGTGTACTTTATGCAATTGTCTGTAACATCTCATTTCTTGCTAGTAAATAATGTACCCCGTATTCCTTGTGAACAAATTATGATGGACTAAAATAGATATCAGTGTATAACCAGAATTGCACCAGATATATAGACACACACTATGAAAGGTACATTTTCATATGGGTCCTAACATCTGTTAATCTGGCAAACTCTAGAAACTAGTGTTAATGTTTAGGTTGAAAAAGCAGATATTAACTCAATATCCTTTAATCCTATAAATGAGAGTGGTAGACCAAGGTGTTCACTCTATGTGGAGCGTTTGGTAGACCTGGTAAAGTTTAAAGCTGGTTTCTCTAATATATTGATGGTAGAATAAAGGATGTTGCAGAGTCTTTTTAAAATGTGGACAACTGTATCAGATGCAAACAGTTAAAATTGCTTTTAGCTGCCGCATGAGACAATATTATCAAACTGTTCTATAATAATCAATAAAGATATGGCATTTTCCATTTTTGGCATTTCTTATACTTCATGTATTAATAATTATTTTTTTTTAGTTTGTATAATTTGTTTATGGAAGGGGTACATTTGTTATAATTGTGTACATTTATTACATCCGATATTTTTCAGATTTGACATTTTGATTGTCTTAAGACTGTTAATGGAGGTTGGTGGAGATGGATTTTCCTCTGACTGAAAGAAAGAGACTGCTTTAATGTATTCATGTTCATTAAGATTGAGGCTAGGTATTCCTAATGGTTTTCTGTTACTGATGTTATGCAATGGGGGTTATTCACAATAATGAGTTCTGGTGAATCAATGGTCATGTTGTGAATGCTAGCAAATAGAAGAAAAATCCATCTCATCTATTTTTCTAACTTGGCTCATTCCCTTCACATGCGATCAGCTGCTGCAGTTATACTATGAACTCCCTCTGCCATCACATACAAATCCCTCTGCTACATTTTGTCTCATCTCCTCTGTTTGACCTTTAGATTGTAAGCTCACAGGCAGGGCCCTCTACCTGTTGTATTGGTCTGTTCCTATTGTGTTGTCTTTCCCAATTGTACAGCGGTGCAGAATATGTTGGCGCTTTATAAATGCCTGTAATAAATAAAATACGGACGTTCTGGTGTGATTTGATAGTCACAATTTAGTGAATAAACCCCTTGGGTAGGATTTCTGCAGCTCTTATGTGAAAGGAATTATATGGATTTTCCTGCAATTACCGTATTTGACCTTGACAACATTTTAAAGAACATTACACACAGTGACTGTTCAATCCACAGTATTTATTATAAACAGCATAACACAATGTTGTTAACAGAGTAAATGGAATGTGATTTACATAGGTTGCAAAAAAAAAAAAAAAATTCATGTCAGTATCTTTGCTTGGACACAGAATGGAGTCAGTGTACCGTAACTTCAGATTGGGAACACTAAAAGTAGCATGGAGTAGGAATGTATGGATTGAGGGAAATAGAACTTTAGAGTGTAAGACAAATAGAACACCAAATGTTAGGTACATCACCAAACTAAGCTATGGAAAATATTCAGAATAAAAAACAAGCTCAGGCTCCTGATTATTCTACCATTAGAGACACATTTTTAGAGGTTTACTCAAACCAAAATGCAGTCTTTTTTATTAAAACACTGGGTTTGATTAGTGTAACCCTTACTTCCCTGCCCTCCCTAAAACAAAACTAAATAAAAAAAAAATCATACTTTTCATAGTGTTGAGGCCAAATTCACCTGGCTGCCTGATCCTCCCCCTTTGATGTCAGGGAGGACAGGTTGAGAGGAGGATTGAGGCAGCACAGAGAGTAGGGCTGTGACACCACTGGACTCCTTTAGTCAAGTCCAATATGTACAAATCTGACATTAGCAAGCTCCACATGGAACATATGGTTAAACTCTGTATGTGCAGCATATCATGCACATGCAGATTCCAGGCACCATCGCCACTTCAAATCACTCAAGTTGTCATAGTGCTTGAAATAACCCTTTTACTTTTTTTTAAAAAGGGTGAAAAAAATTTTTTTTTCCCCTTGAGGTTTCTAGTTACCAGTCACCACACACATTTTCATTTATCTATAACATCAAGCTTGTAGACTAAAATGCAAGAGTTACTGTAAATCTGTGTATGTGCGGGTGGGGAGTTTATTTATAAAATATATATATAAATTCTGACAACAACACAAACAGTTTCCTTACTGACTATTAGTAAACTTTCCTAGCATTCTCGGGTTAAGAACCCCACTCAGCATTCCTTTGGACAGTCAGGACCCCATTAAGCACCAGTGCCTGTACATGCACTGCACTTTGGATAGATACTATTTGCTATTACAGCTGCTGTGTGCTACATAACTCAAAGTGCCGCTATTCAAAAGGCTGGCAAAGCATCATGAGAGATGTACCTCAGAACATCTGAAATTGTTGGTGTTGCTTATTCAGAAAATATACGGCAGAAATTAGAGTGCTACCATGGTAACTGGTATATCTTTATATACTACAAGAATTTCTTGTAGCTGTTGCCATGGAAGTTGTAGAGCGAATAAGTACAATATAATATGCAAGGATCATGTCTGGATTGTAAGCTCACAAAAGTAGGCTAGTTAACCCATTTAATGTGTGTATGTATATATATATATATATATATATATATACACACATATATATATATATATACACACATATATATATATATATATATATATATATATATATATATACTCTCTCTCCCCCCCTTCCAGCAATTCTCACTCTACAATAAGTATGTTCATGGAAACCTCGGTTATGACTACACATCGAGGCTGGCTGGAGTAAATGTTACAAATGTAAGAAATAAAATGTTTTTTCGCCACCAGGTTCTTGTTCATAACATAACATCACAAGAATTGGCTCTGACTTGGTAAGGATTGCTGCCAAAAAAACAAGAATTTTTACAGATATGTTAAAAGTTTAATGTTTTGCAATAAAACAAACCAAAAAACAAAAGGAAAATTGTGTTGAGAACATTTCAATGATGGAAGAAATGTCCCATGAACTTAACTGTGTTAATGGTTGGAACCATGCTATTAATTTTGATAACTATATATATCTATCAGTACCAATGTAGAGGCATGCAGAGGATGAAGATGAAGAAACTTTTATTCCATGGCAATATTTTCCATATCAGCGGTTTTTGCAGCAGAACATATAAAGACATACTATTGGTAATATTTATTTAAACCCTAGTGGGGTGATTGGGACAATACATCCTTCTTTGCATGGTTTGGCAAACATTCAAACACATTGCAGTCCACAGCCTTTTTCCTTGCCAAGTGCAAGAAACATCTTTAAGCCTAAGCGTTAATTTACTTCCTAGCAAATACAAATTGAAATTAAACCTGTACTGAGACACTCCTTGGCTCCTCCAGAGGTACCCCATGTGATACATGTATATGGATGAGAAACTGCATTAACTGACCCTTTCATTTATAGGAAATCACCACTTAACATATATCTGTAATCTCTTAAACCAGCAAAATCTGATTGACAAGAGAATGTAATCTATTTACATACATATCACAATGGATTATATCAACGTGTTGTACATAAAATGTAAATGTTGTGTATACCAGGTACACTTAAATTCTGGAGAAATAATTTATATATATAGTGTTATACAAAATTACCATTTTGTTGACTCTTACAGAATGTAGCCCATTCCCTCTACTTGGAACCGTTGAATACTTTCAGTTAATAGTTAATGGGATGAATGTTCCAAGTGGTAAAAAAATGAATTCAACAACTGTTCATCTTATGAATTCAACAACTGTTCATCAGAAAAAAAAAAAAATCTATGCCAAAAGTTTCATTTTAGATTCCATAAATATTTTCCGAATTAGAACACCCCATTTAAAAAGTGCATTTTCTGCACACAATATTGAAATGGAAATCTATAGGCAATTACAATATATTTTATCATACTTAGAACCACCTTTATTTATTTCTGGTAAAAAAATAAATAAAAAAAATACTCAAAAAAACTAAAATAATTGAAATAAATGTGACATGCTCCTCAAGTGTAGAAATCTGCACATATTTATGCAAGCAAAGCAATTGCAAGGTGGTTTGGACATATGTGAATGATAATAGAAACTAAATTAATAATAAAAACATAGAATTGTACCACCACAATAATAATTTGAACTAGAGAAGTAATACCAGTCTGTACCTAAGTGAAATGTAGGTTATGGCAGCTTGCATTTTTGCGACACACACGTGATGGACACATTCTTACAGAACATCACGGAGATCTAAACAGGATCCCAGAAGCAGTTTTTACATAGGGAATAAGATATTGACTTATGCTCTGGTATGGGACATTTTAGAATCTGTTCATATTTAGGAGTGTGAATACACAAATTATTTTATTTTTTAAATCATTTCTTCTCATCACTGGACTACAAAGTAAACAAAGAGAACCACAAAGAGGCTCAATATTGGACTGTAAAGCACCCTCAACCCAGATCCCCTTTGATACTCGTGCACACATAACTCTCTTATAATTTTTGTCTTGACACTTCTGTCCAATTGGTTAATCTCTGATGCATTCTTCCCATCATCTTCCTTTATAACGTACTCAGTAACCGTCATGTTGAAGCAGTCAGAGACAAACCTGTCCTGTGACACATGCATGTTCTCCCCATACATGGGCCGATAGACTTGGTTAGGCATCTGGTTTCGGTAGTTGTTGTAATAACGACTCTCCATATCATTGTCAAAGTGATACCTCATATTTCCAACAGCATTTCCAAGCATGAAACCCCCAAGGGCTCCAGCCGCGGCCCCTGCTGCAACCATCTTCATGTTTGTTTTGGACTTTGGAGGTTTCCATTGCTTGTTATTGTAACTGTTTCCACCAGCGGGATAGTAATTCTGTCCCCAGTTTTGTCCGGTATTCCCCTGATTCCAGCCACTCCAGGATCCACCAGGTTGGTTGGGGTTCCTGTTTGAGTTCCAACTGCCACCTTTCTTCCCTTTCTTAGATGCCTCAGTCAGTGTGAGAATAAGGAAAATAAGAAGAAAACAGGTCCAAAGAGTTTGCGGCATTTTTCTGTATCTGCAAGCAGAGGAATGGCACATGATTTAACAAACTGAATAATGCTGTATAGTCTGATGTATATCACAGTTTGAACCTTCTGTATCTTTAGACAGTTAGTAAAACAGACAAGTGTTAGCAATTTCAAACCAGCAAACCGATTTAGACAATTGGAACCCCCCCCCCATTATTTTTTTTTTTTAACTATAACCGCAGTTTACTGCAACTCAAACATGTTAGAAATTAAAGTGACACTATAGGTGGTTTTATCACTATAGGGTTAGGAGTACATGTTCGTGTTATTGAGCCTACAGTTTTCCTTTAAGGAGGGCACAAACAAAATGAATGCATCACTAAAAAATTTGATATGGGATACATTTATGTCATATTTAAGCATCATACTTGAGAGACCCCACTTTCCAACCTCTTATGAAACCCAGTCAATTCCATGACATCAACTCATCTTTCACAGTGTGAAGTGTGGGTATGCATTGGACAAAATGAAAGTGCATGCGTTCTTTTTTCCAATTCGGTCATTAAACTGAATCTACTGCACACCTGGTATATGCATAACACACCCTCTCCACTGTTTACAGCTAGCTACATGATGTGATTAAACCATGTAAATCTGACCTCAACCACATTACTTCTCCTAGAACTTAAGTGTGGTCTGATTGACTGAATATTTAATGATCATCTAAGAGTATTATAGAAGAAATTTGGAGCAGTGCCATGTTTACATGTGGTTGAATGGGATCTGCTTGTGGTGAAGAGTACTTTGAATGCTGAATACTTTGATATCACCCAAGAGTCCCTATTTACGAAGGACAGTCCTTATTTTGGGTCCAAATCCTTATGACCATGTTTTCTAGAAGCTCCAAATTCTTGGTGTATCAGAGTGTATAAAAGACCTCCACAACAATAATACTTACTGCATTGTGTCTTTACAGGGTTACTGCAACCACCATGATCACTTCAGTTTTTGAAGTTTTCCTGGTGGTATAAGCCTGGATGTGCAGTGTTTCAGCTTGAAACACTGCACATCCAGTGTTACTGGCAATTGTATGCCAGGGGCAAGTTGTACCCTCCACCACAAACAACTTAAGCAACCCAGAACTCTGTTCCTGGCTGCCTGATGTCAATTGTGTGCATAATTTCCATCTGTTGTCTGTGCCCTGCACACTGCCAACAGATGTAATAGCTTCTCCCACACCGATTGTAACCTTCCCTATCCCCTCTGTTATATTTTTTCCCACTCCACCCTTCCTCTTCTCTTTTTCCTCTACTTGCCAAGTCAGAGTGTTCGCATGCACTCTGAGCCCATTAAATCCCCCAACCTATGAAAATCCCAAAAGATATACTGAGACAAACTAAAGTTGGGACTACTGCTTGACACTAGGCAGAACGATCACCATCAAGCTGTGTAATTTCCCTCAGTGGTTGCTACAAGAAAATTAGCGCTTTCTATGGATTATTTCGCTGTCTTGCAGGATCCTCCATAGATCTCAGTGACGTTGGCCCCTGGCAGCTGAAGCACCAGGAGCATAGGAGGAGCGACAGAAAGACAATGGCAGTGCCTGTCAGGTTCGGGTAAGTAAATCTCACCATTTCCTGCACCCCGCACGGCCACTGGACCCCAGTGACAATGTCACCATTGTGGGTCTTTATATAATATGCAAACTCCCCACACAATGAAAGATCTGCTTTAAAGGGACACTATCCCTTTAACTTAATGGGAGCATGGTTATTCTCTGAATAGAGAGTTCTAAATACCAAAATAGATGAAACCGCCTAGGCATATAATATACTGCCAAAATCATGACATACTTAAATGCTATATGCCAAGCATAGCTTGAGGACATCCATTGTCGTTTAGAGCAGTGTTTCCCAACCCAGTCCTCAAGGCACACCTACCAGTCCAGGATTTAGGGATTACCCAGTTGTGTCTAAGGTGTTTTTTTTCTTCTTTGTAAAAACACCTTAGACACAACTGGGTAATCCCTAAATCCTGGACTGGTAGGTGTGCCTTGAGGACTGGGTTGGGAAACACTGGTTTAGAGGACCAAAAGTTGTCTAAGCACTTGGAAGTCCCTCTAGTGGTTGTCTGGTAGGCAGCCATTGGAGGAGTTAACTCTAGCAGGTAATTATTGCAGTTACTTAGAAACGGCAATAATTACCACTGTAGGGTAAAGGGACATGGGGCATTGCACCCAGACTACTTCAATGAGCTGAAGTGGTCTAGGTGCCTACAGTGTCCCTTTAAATGTAAAGCCTAATTTTAACAGGTAATAAAGTATAAACGGGGAGGGGGCAGATGTACCTGTTAGGGCCCAAAAGGGCCCTTTCAGTTAAAAAAAAGAAGGACATTACACTAACCCTTTAACATGCCACAGTAGTAACAACCCTGCTAATTAAAAAGGTTTATGAATGAACAGCTCATGCGTGTTTCCAACTCATTTCGTTTTATTTGTTCATATCATGTATATGTAGATTGTATATAATACACAATCTTCAGAGATGCAGTTTGTGAAACGGGTAACTAGGGTAGTTTGTGTCAACAGGGGAGTATACTGAACAAGGACACTATGCACAGATGGATTCCCTCTAAACCTGGCTGTAGAAATGCTTGCACAAAACACAAACAATTCCCATTTGTGAAGGACTCCCACTAGAAGGCATTGCAGTTTTCATAATGAACACCAACTAAATTAAATTTTTAAAGAAAACATTTTAAGGTCCAAACAGGGACACTTATTTTAGCTGGTTGGCAGCAGGTAAGGATTAGTAAGGAATGATAGGCAGAGACAACAATGTCTAATAAAAAGACAATAACACAGATTAGGATGCTTTATCATTTAGCTATGCCTGGTACCAGGGCTCGAGTCCTGCAGGAACGCGTGGGAACGGCGTTCTTGCAGTTTATCTACAGCAGGAACACCATCACAGTTACAAGTCCTGCAGGACCCAGGGCTGGCACAAGCAGCCACCAGAGCAGGGGGAGCACAAATCCAAATCCCCTGCCTCTGGGGACTCGGATTTTTAAACTCACCTCTCTCCCTGCATCCTGCATTCAGTGGAGTCGGCGGGCCTCGCCTGATGATGTCAGGAGGAGGGGGTGTGACTTTCACTGCTCTTCTCCCAGGACCACTGGGGAGTCTGGGAGAAGAGCAGACAAAGTCACGCCCCCTCCTTCTGACATCATCAGGAGAGGCCGGCCGACTCCACTGACTGCAGGTTTCAGGCCCCAGATCCTGTCCCACCCCTCCTGGCTCAAGGTAAGCCTCAGGGAGGGGGGGATGCACTTTTTTTTAATCACCTTACTCAGGCCATGTCCCCCCCCCAAGGTCCTGTCCCTTTCCTCAGCCCGTGTCCCTCTTCCTCAGCCCCTGTCCCCCTTCCTTAGCCCCTGTCCCTCTTCCTCAGCCCCTGTCCCCCTTCCTTAGCCCCTGTCCCCCTTCCTTAGCCCCTGTCCCTTTTCCTCAGCCCCTGTGCCCCTTCCTTAGCCCCTGACCCCTTCCACAGCCCCGGCCCTCTTCCTCAGCTTCTGTCCCTCTTCCTCAGTCCCGTCCCTTTTCCTCAGTCCCGTCCCTCTCCTCAGCCCCTGTCCCCTTCCTCATCCCTGTCCCCTTCCTCATCCCCTGTCCCCCTTCCTCATCCCCTGTCCCCCTTCCTCATCCCCTGTCCCCCTTCCTCATCCTCTGTCCGCCCTGCTAAGCTCCTGTCCCTCATCCTCAGCCCCTGTTCCCTTCCTCAGCTCCTGTCTCCCTCTCCTAAGCCCCTGTCCCACTCAGCCCCTGTTCACCTTACTCAGCCCCTGGGGGAGCGGGGGGGTGTATTTATTGTATGTTATGCCTACCTCCAGGAGAGAGTGATTAATTTCTAAGACAATGGAAACATTTAGTTTTCCCCTCCCCTAAATTTAGAGCATTATTTGGTCAATCACTTAATTTTTGTGTGGTTTATTAAGTTCTACTGGCCCCTACAACATGAAATATCAATCCTAAATTCTATAAAACCCACATTGTATAGAACTATTGATTGTTTGACAAAAGCCCCCCTAGTTACCAGGCATATTTTGTTAGATGAATTCCCTATAACAGAAGTGTCTTCTGAAATGACATTAAAGAGCTAATATAATTTCATCTTAATTAAGTGATCTGGGGTTTTAGATACTGCTTCTAGCTGCAGTAAACAATACCCTTTTCACGCCTTATTCAATTATCACGCCTACTAATGTCCATCAGACATCCAATAGGGGGCTTTGGACCAACACAAAATTCAATTGCTGCATTAATATGATGTCTGGCGTCAGCATACTCATGTCAGATGCTGAGTGCTTCCAAACCTTCCTCAGGGATGCATAATGAATATTATTTTCAGTGTACTGAGCAACCTCTTTTACATCCCAATGTTACTGAAATAGTTGCATTTTACAAGAAAAAAAATTAAAATAAATAATCACTCCAAGCACTATGGGCCACTAAATCTTATTCTAGTGGATGTGTTGCTAAAAAACAATTGTTGAAGTCCCTTTGTTTTTTGTGAAACTATATTCATCCATTTCAGCTACTGGGTTAATTTACCCACAATGCATTAATACTATCCTTAACTTTGTCTCACTTTACCCCATTCCCTCTAGCATGTAAACTCATTGTAAGCTCTATGAGCAGGGCCCTCAACCCCTCTGTTCTTGTGTGTCCAACTTGTCTGGTTACAACTACATGTTTGTTTGTCCACCCACTGTAAGCGCTGCAGAATTTGATGGCGCTATATAAATAATAATATAATAATAATAATAATAATAATAATAATAATTAGTCAAAAGTATTCGACAGAACAGGAATCTGCAGACATCAGAGAGAGGAAAACAAAATACAAGGCAGAATAGATAATACATATAAATGAAGGCAAGTGTCAGCGGCATAATCAGGGTACAAAAGGGTATAAGGAAAGAAAAACTGAAAAAATAAAATACATATCTTCCAAGTGTCCCTATTTAGGAAGGACAGTCCATATTTTGGACTTCATTCCCTCTGTCACTCTTTGCTGCCCAATGTCCCTCTTTTCTAGGAGCTCCATATTGTTGGTGTATCGGAGTGTATAAGAAGTTTGTTTAAACAGGGCCCTCAACTTCATCTGTTCCTGTGGTAGGAGTCTGTATGTGGAGCATCTGTTAGTCCACCCATTGTACATTGCTGCTGAATTTGCTGGCGCTTTATAAATATTAATAATATTATAAATGTGTTTAAAAATCAGTCTGTGTATATAATATATATTGTTTCTGTTCTAAATTGTATTTTAGTTGTAAAAATTATGTTAGGCTACCAAAAATGTAAACTCGTTTTCCTGACACTATAGCTTCCCTCTCTGTCAAGGCCCCCTCCAGCGGCGCTGAAGAGGTTAATAACCCCTTCAGTCACTTACCTGGGTCCAACGCCGATGTCCCTCGGTGATGGCTCATCTCAGCCCATGCTCCTCCCCTGCCGACAGGGGAGACCTAATGAGCATGCGCGGCAATAGCCGCGCTCGCATTAGGATTTCCCCATAAGAAAGCATTAATCAATGCTTTCCTATGGAGATTCCGGCAACTCTGGAGGTCCTCATGCATAGCGTCAGGATGTCAAGCGTCATTTAGACGACCAAAAGTCATCTAAGAAGCCGGAAGTCCCTCTAGTGGCTGTCTGGTAGATAGCCACTAGAGGAGGAGTTACCCCTAGCAGGTAGTTATTGCAGTTTATAAAAACTGCAATGATTACCACTCTAGGGTTAAGGGTGATGGTAGTTGGCACCTAGACCACTTCAATAAGTTGAAGTGGTCTGGGTGCCTACAGTGTCCCTTTAAAATGTCTTAAACTGCCCTGTCCCTGGCTAAACCCCCACTCACACCCCTAAAATTGAAGTGCCCTGCTTTGTCTATTTGAAATGTTAGGAGGTATGAAAAAAACCAAAAAACAATACTATTCATGTGAACAATGTCATAAGCATATTGTGGAAAGTTGCATCACTGTCTAATACACAACCCACAGAAAGTAAAGGGACAAAATATGTAAAATCACACAGCAGAAGAAAACCCACAGAAAGTTGGATGAATACAGCAAAGTGCCTATAACAATAGTTATTATGCTGTTTATTGACACCACCAGCTTGTATTACATTAAAAAGGAGTAAGGCTGTTTACCGTTTTTATTCATTGTACTAAAATGATAGGATAACTTGGATTCACAAAGCCTCCATGTGTTCAATTCACGTATAAACACCACATTCAACAGCAGGAATGAATGCTTCCAATGCAATAGCATTTCAATCGAGGCCTTGCCCTGTCATCTGCTCCTTTCCCATTCCTCCATTTATATAAACATACCAAACTTGAAACTGGCAGATGTGTTCCATGCAGCAATTAGAGTACAATATATTGCTTTCAAATCAGGGACAAAAAACCCAGCTCATCCTTTAACTTTATAGGTCTTACAACCTCAAGAATGTAATATTATTGTTGCTATATACATTTTTCCAAAGAAGAAAAAAAATTACTACATCTTGAAAGCAGTTAACATCATAACTCTGACAGTGAGAAAGCTAAACAGACGATCATGTGTTTAAAAATGAATAGAAATATGACGTTATTCTACAAAAATAAAAATGACACAGACCATGTTAAATCACATGTTAGCAATCTGTACTCTTAAGGATCCCTAGGGGAGCTATGGCTGAGATTACACACTTCCTTCTAGCTGTACCAAGTAATACTTGCAATGACACTCAGCCAATCACAATTGCCCATTGCTGCTTAGGCTAATACTTTCTCATTAATTCAATCAGCACTAAAGGGATGGGCTCTGTGGGATCATTTAATATTAAAAATGGTTTAATGCTGATTGAAAGGACAGTTCCAGGGGATTCCAGACTCTATAATTACTTGAATGAGATGAAAAGTGCCTTCTTAATCACCTTAAGCAAGGTTCCATTGTTGTTGCTATCACAATCCAACAGGTGAAAGAATCCTACAAATGTGCAAACTGCAGACATCAAAAACAAAAATGGAGGTGCCCCAGTACAAAGATCTGACACAAGGAAAAAAAAGATTATAAATAAAAGCGCGCACCAATGGAGAGAGTATAATAACATGTGAAATATACAGTGGTGTACTCAGGGTGGCCGATCACTGGACAGCACTCTCCTCCTGCCGGTCACTCCATGGTAGTGTGACTGAGCAGGCAGACTACTATAGAGGAGCCTCTGTTCCCCTACCCGACTGGAAGTGCTTACAGAGAGCATAGAACTGCTTCCTGCCGGACTGAGTACAGGAAACAGAACCTTCTCTGCTGTGAACCACCTGCCTCAGGTGAGGTTGAGCAGGCACAGAGGAGGGGGGCTAAAGAGGGCACAGAAGGGGGGGGGACAAAGAAGGACACAGGAGGGAAGGGGGACTAAAGAGGACAGGCGGTGGGGGGCAAAGAATGGCACAGGAGGGGATGGGAGCAAAAGAGGGCACAGGGTGGGGGACAAAAATGGGCAGGGAGGGGAACTAAAGTGTGCAAGGGGCCTAAAGAGAGCACAGGAAGGGAGGCAAAGACACACAGAGGGGCTGAGGGGGACATAGAGACACATAGAGGGTATGGACAGGGCTGGCGCATCCATAAGATGGCACAAGCAGCCGCCTTAAGGTGCACCGGCCCAGGGAGCACTAGATTGGAGTGACCGGCAGGAGGTGGGCGCACAGCGTGTTTAGCGTGACAGGGTAGAGCATTGCGCACCACGGTACAGGAACTTATGTTCCCTGTACCCGGCCGGACTGAAAGGAAGTACTCACCGAGAGAGCACTTCCTGTCAGTCAAGCCGGGTACAGGAAACGGAAGCTCCTGTCATCTACTCTGCTCGGCCACGCTACAAGAATGGTAGGAGACACACCGGGGTCAAAGGGGGAAGAAAGAGGGGCACTAAGGGGGAGAGAAAACCATGGAAAGGGGAGGAAACTAGGAGGGGGAAGGAACGCCATAAGGAAACTATGGGAAGGGGGAAGACAACTATGGGAAGTGGGAAGACAACTATGGGAAGGGGGAAGACAACTATGGGAAGGGGGAGGGCAACCATGGGAAGGTGGAGGGAAACCATGGGAAGGGGGAGGGCAACCATGGGGTTGGGGAGGGCAACTATGGGGGGAGGGAACACTATGGTGGGAAGGAACACTGTGGGAGGGGAAGGTGTAACACTGTGGGAGGGGAAGGTGTAACACTGTGGGAGGGGAAGGTGTAACACTGTGGGAGGGAGGGGAAGGAACACTATGGGAGGCGAGGGAGTAAAACTATGGGAGGGAGGGAGGGAGTAACACTATGGGAGGGGAGGGAGTAACAGTATGGGAGGGGAGGGAGTAACACTATGGGAGGGGAGGGAGTAACACTATGGGAGGGGAGGGAGTAACACTATGGGAGGGGAGGGAGTACACATAGGAGGGAGGAGGGGAACAACATTATGGAGGGGAGGAAGGAACATATGGGAGGGAGTGGAAGGAACACCATGGGAGGGAGTGGAAGGAACACTGGGAGGGAGGAGAAGGAACACTGGGAGGAAGGAAAAGAACACCATGGGAGGGGGAAGGAACACCTGGGAGGGAAGGAAACACTATGGGAGGGGGGGAAGAACACCAAGGAGGGGGGAAGAACACCATGGGAGGGGGAAGAACACCATGGGAGGGGAAGAACACCATGGGAGGGGGGAAAGAGCACCATGGGAGAGAGGGGAAGGAACACCATGGGAGGGGGAGGAGGAGAACACTATTGGACTAAAGAATGCTATGGGACAGGGGAGGGGGGGAAGAACACAAAAAAAGAGGGAGGGTTGAGAAACACTGGGGGGGGAGGAACATTAAGGGGGGCACTAAGGTAAAGGGGAGGGAATGGAAGGGAAAATGAACACTGGGGAAGTGGTGGGACCACTAAAAAAGGAACATTAAGGGGAAAGGGGGGGGCACTAAGAGAGGTAAGGGGGAGAGAAGAGGAACACTAAGGGACAGGGAAGGGAGGGGAGAGTAACACTAAGGGACAGGGGAGGGAGGGGAGAGGAACATTAAGAGACATAGAGGGGAGAGGACCATTAAGGGACAGGGAGAGGACCATATATGAACACGGAGGGGAGGAGAGAGGAACACTAAGGGACATGGAGGGGAGAGTGGCACGGCACACAGGGGGGCCTGAGTGGGGAGAAAGACACACAGAGAGACATGAGGGGGGAGAAAGACAAACAGATGGACCTGGGGGTGAGAAAGTCCACAAAGGGGCCTGTGAGTGGAAATACAAAGGGGCTGGGGGTGAAAGAGACAAAGAGGTGCTGGAGAAGAGGAAAAAGAGACACAGAGGGGCTGGTGGTAAAAGAGAAACACACAAAGGAGCTGGTAAGAGTAAAAAACACAAAGGGGCTGGGAGAGAAGGAGACAGAGGCTGGGGAGGGAGTAAGAAACACAAAGGGGTAGTAAGAGATATGCAAGGGAAGTGTAAGACACACAATGGGGAAAAAATAAGGGGTAAGATACTAAAGGTGGTAAGACATTTAAAAAAGGGGATAAGAAACAAAAGGCGGGTTAAGAGGGACACAGGTGAAGATGTTTTTTTATGGAGTGGGGCTCCAAAATCATCTTCACCTGTGTACCCCAAAAGACACAGAAAGAGGTTGGGGGAGACACACTGAGGTGAAGTGGAAAATGAGACACACAGAGGGGTTTGGGGAGAAACAGACGCCTGCTAGTGGAAGAAAGAGGCCAGCCAGCCAGCTAGCCACAGCAGCCAACCAGCCAGCCTGCCAACTGCAACAACCAGCCAGCATCAGTAAATAAGGTGTAAAGAGCCAACTTGTATGTATTGCCTGGGTATCAGAGAGCTATGTTACATTACTATATTGTGAATCGGGCCAGAGTGCTAGAGAGACCCTTCTCCAGGGCACATTAGACTCCACTGTAGTCTCTAATGTGGCCTTGAGGAGATTCTTTCTAACACACAGTTTACAAATGTTTGCAGTAAATATTCTTGAAAAAAAAATGGTGGGTGTTTTTTACATCTGAAAGCTGGATCCACCCCAAGTGCCAAATGCTCTAGGTATGCCCCTGGTTATATACTTAGCCTCCTTTTACCCAACTGTATATAGGGAGAGGCTGGGTTATTCTTAGAGTGGGCCATAAGGATTGGGCATCCCTTGACATTACTAGGAGATACTATGAGGGACCTTCCATGCCAAAAGATTGGGCATCCAACAGCATGTTTAAAAGAAACTGGAAGTTCCCTGATATGTTTATAAAAGAACCCTGAGGTCCTTGCCCATTTGGGTTCCATTGGATCTCCAAATATTGTTAAACATTCATTTACAGTGAATGGAAGGGGAGGAATAGCGAGAGACAATAGGCAGGTCCCTCTTTATTAAATCATCTATACCCCTACCCCAAAACGGGTGCTATAGCAAAAGGCAGCTCAATCATTTAGTTGTTAGTTGCCACCTTTTCGTACACCAGGTAGGTGGTGGAGGAATACATTTTGACTTTAATCTTATTCTATTTATAGGTGGGTGGCCACCCCTCCTAGCACCAAAACTACTATTGCTTGCTTTAGTGGTTAAGGTTCCAGCAGTGTTCTTGCACTCCTCCAGTGCAACTAGTCAAACCGTTTTTTAACAGTTTGATTTCTTAAATCTGGGGTTCGCCAGGTGCTGCTGCCTGCCTCTACTACTAACACTAGAAAGCAGGAAGTTCCTAAACAAGGCTTAGCTCACTGGCTGAGAGCGTATCTCAGTACAGATCTGGGTGTGCTTATGTGTGGGCGTTAGCCCAAGGTAAATTAAGTTTGGGCTGTTTGCCATAAAACAAATGAAATTATTAAAAAGAAAAAAAAAATTTTTAATCACACATCTTTTACTCATTTGTTTTAAGCAGTTACTCTACTTTGACAGCGTTGCCCCAGAAGCGTAGGTTAGATAACAACTCAGGCATTCAACAGTTTTGTTTATCCCAGTCTGAGCACCTTCAGATTAATCAATGGCTAGCCAAATACTCTTATTAAGCTCAGACATTTATATCCCTCAGGTTGACTTGGCAATGGACTTTGAAGCGTAGCTTTTAGAAACACAGTTTCATGACAGCATTGCATTGCACATTTTATTTATAAATTAAAATAATTTAGGAGTATAAATAACTTTTAACAAATGTAAATTTAGATTGAAATATGCCACATCATAGCTAGCTAAATTTGAAATAAACACAGGGAATCCCCAGAACAGGATGTACTCCATGTCTGATTAGTGTCCACTGACAGCATCTTGTTCCATGAACTAGGGGTGAACTCGTGGCATTTGTCACCTTGGATGGTTTAATTTCAACACCCTCTACTGCATTGTAGCCCCCCTAGCTAGATAAATAAATATAGGTATAAGACAGTCTAGGAGACATAGATACAGATAGATGAATAAAAAATAATTTTCCTACATAAGAATGTTAGGGCAGCATGCCAGTAATATACACCCAAATACTGACCATCCAAGGTAAAGCACAAGATAGCCTAACATATTCAAGTATATCCATCGCAGTCTGCATCATCTATCGATGCCAACAGACAACACAATGAGAAATATACAAACATATGAATTATTAAATCACAGATAATATAGAGATTCATTCTCTATGCAACCTAAAGACAAGTGTATACTAGTGCTAGTATACTACTATAGTGTGCACACAGAATCATACATCCATGTAATGGAATAACACACTGGGAATTGCCACCATGATTACCTTCCATGGCTGTACAGTTTATATATACACACATTATATAACACTAACATTTTAGCATCATGTATTCATGTCATAGAGGAACAGCCTCACTATGCCGGCCTAATTCATTATTTACCATGTGAGGTCCCTCAGGCCACATTCAACCAACCCCCCCATAGATCTATATTTTTTTTCTTCAATCCCCATGCTTTGGCCTTTTATAGCCTATGGTATTATTAAACCCATATATTTGATACTGCTGGCCACATTAACCTCTGAATATGTGTCTGTCCGCATTTAAAATAAGACCATCATCTATCAAACGGATTTCCAGATGTCAATATTTTCAAAGAAAATCCACCTGATTGTGTTCTCTCCTGATGTCATTTGTTCCCATAAATGTCCCTTGATCTTCTCTGTCCCAGTTAAGGAGGGCTATTTATAATACAGCTATTAAGTGTTAAGCGGCTTAAATAGACTGTACACCAAACCCTACTTTAAAGTGACAAATTATATTAAAACTCCTAGTTGCATTTTAATTATTTAAAAAAATAATATAGGTCACTAATCAGCAATATGACAAACCCACAGGTGAAAAATTGAAAAGGGATGTATGAACTAAGTATTTTGAGATTGTCAATAGCAGCATCACAGAATAAGGCAAAATTAAAATCCAAGTGCATCCAGCTCTAGCCCTCTAGCTGTTGAACTACATTTCCCAGAATCCTCTGCCAGCCATGATATTCTGGAAACTGCAATTACCCAGCAGCTGTGTTTGGATGCTGGACTTGTTTGGAGTAAAAGAAAAAACAACTCAGAAGGCCATTATACATATTGTACATGATGCCTTCCTCCCAGCTGTGGATTAGGCGTTTGATACATATTAAAGCAATTTCATTGTACAATCTCTTCACATGCGCAGCTTGAAATCGAATCCCTTTCACCCATCTCTGTTTACAGAATGTGACAAACAAAATGCACTAGCTATAGATGTACCGACCTCAGCTATAGATAAAGATACAAAATATAACACACACAGATAAATAAAGATACAAAATAGAACACACACAGATAAATAAAGATGCAAAGTAGAACACACACACACACACACACACACTATAGATAACGATACAAAATAAAACACACACAGATTAAAAAAAAGATACAAAATAGAACACTAACACAATAGATAAAGATACAAAACAGAACACACACACACAGATATATAAAGATACAAAATAGAACACACACAGATAAAGATACAAAATCGAACACACACAGATTAAAAAAAGATACAAAATAGAACACACACACAATAGATAAAGATACAAAACAGAACACACGCACATATATTTCCATACCTCCCCTATGATATTCAAGTAATAAAGGCTACCCACCCATCTAATGCAATCACACTGCTGTGAATGTATAGCACCAAGATACATCACATGTAACATGAACAATCCGTATCTCTGGCTACCAGCAAAGGGTTAATGTGCTATTATGTTTACATGCTAATAGTCTCCCCGAGATCACCGTGCAGAGCGAGCTGCTAATAGTCTCCCCGTGCTCACCGTGCAGAGCGCGCTGCCTGTATCCCTGTTTCTGGGTGAGTGTCACTAAGGGTGGATGTGGTAAGAGCTCAGCCTTGCTGCTCGGTGGGAGGGGCTAGCAGAATGTATTATGGTGGTGGAGGAGAGGGAGGGGTGATGTGTGAGGGGGTACTTCTCTCCTAAAATGGTCTTTACATCCGGCGCTGCAGTGTAGGTAGTGTTGACTAGGGATGTCATTGCTCAGTGGGTACTTTCCATGTATTCAGTGTTTTGCTGCCAGCCTCCATATGTGTCATTCTGACCACCTCCCTCCATTTGCAAACACTGCATCTTCCCTAATTTTAAATCGCTATTTGCATCACCTTGTCTTTCTGTATTAGTGCGTTTAACATCGATCACTATTAGTATATTCAGTTTAATGCAGTTGTGTTATTTACTAAAAAAAAAAAAAAAAGTATCACGCATTTACAGCTTTTTTAACCCTTTAAGGACCAAGGCTTTTTTTTGAGACATTTGTGACCAAGCCCTTTTTGGCACTATTACCATTCTTTACACCATATTTTCAAAGGAGAAATAGGTTTGTTTTTTTAATGCTAAATGTAAACATAAGACAATATTAAATAGAATAAAGTATAAAAAAATGGAAACAAATATAAAAAACAACTTTACATTTTTTTTAAAAATAATGTTTACACACTAAGTGCAACAAAAGAAAACAAATTCAAAATGGATTCACTAATTAGTCCTTCTTGTTAAAATACCCAATATGGCTAGGATTAAAATACATTTTTAGACCTTCTAAAACAAATGCTGCAAGGAGAGAATTACCGTTTTAAAGATAAAACTTTGCAAAATTTGGCATGCTGAGAGAGTAACTTTTATAGTAGTCAGAGAATCCAAAACCAGAACACAAAAGTATATATTTGTAGAAAGTAAATCCCCAGGATATAACTAAGAGCATTTTGACATCATTCTATCACAGACCTAGGTCAAATTATTTTCTGGTTTATTTTTTTCTCTACACGTTTTATTTTGGGGAAAATCACAGAATACATGTCCCACATGCCACTAACTGTTGACCCAACTGACAAAGGTGATCCTCAGGTATATAAAGATGCCTGGAGTTCCTTGGTAGCAGTGGGGACTTAACCCCTGCTGGTACCCTTACTGCATGATTGGGGTTCCGGTTTCCGTACCGTCACCCGTGACAGATGGCCGTAGGCACTTGGAGTTTGTGGGGTGGACTTTGCAGCTTTCCTGTTCTGTCTGTCGTGTCATGCCTGGTTCTTCTGCATGCAAGAGATCCTGTATCTTCAGGCAAATAATTCCATATCCTTATTGCTCTTACTGTAAAAAACCTTTTCTTTGCCTTAGATGAAATCTCCTTTCTTCCAGCCTTAATGTGTGACCTCGTGTCCTATGTATAGCCCTGTTTATGAATAGATTTCCAGATAATGGTTTGTACTCGCCCCGAATATATTTGTATAATGTTATCATATCCCCTCCCAGGCGCCAAACTAAAGAGATTTACATTTTTTAACCTTTCTTCATAACTAAAATGCTCCATTCCTTTTATCAATTTTGTAGCTCATCTCTGCACTTTTTCCAGTGCCATGATATCTTTCTTTAGAACAGGTGCCCAAAATTGCACAGTATATTCAAGGTGTGGTCTTACCAGCGATTTATAAAGAGGCAAAATTATATTTTCATCTCGAGAATTTATGCCCCTATTTATACATGACAAAACCTTACTGGCCTTAGCAACGGCAGATTGACATTGCATATTGCCGCCTAATTTGTTGTCTATAACAATTCCCAAATCCTTCTCGTGTGTGGTTATCCCTAGTTTACTACCATTTAGGGTGTAAATTGCTTGTGCATTCTAAACCCTGAAGTGCATAACTTTGCATTTCTCTATGTTAAATTTCATCTTCCATTTTAGTGCCCAGTCCCACAATCTATCCAAATCCCTCTCCAGCAAGGCAATATTCTGCTCACATTTTATTACTTTACAAAGTTTTGTGTCATCTGCAAACACTGATACATGGCTTTCAATGCCCATTTCAAGATCATTTATAAATATGTTAAATAGAAGCGGTCCCAAAACAGAACCCTGAGGGACACCACTTACCACTTTTGTCCAGCTTGAAAATTTACCATTAATGACAACTCGTTGTACTTGGCAAAATCCAAGTAGATCACATCCACTGCAACACCCTGATCTATACTTCTACTTACTTCTTTGTAGAATGCAATTAGGCTAGTTTGACATGACCTATGTTTCATAAAACCATGCTGATTATTGCTAATAACACAGTTCTTCCCAATGAATTCCTGAATATTATCCCTTTAATAGCTGTTCAAATAAATTCCCAGTCTCAGAAGTTAAGCTCACAGGTCTATAATTTCCAGGCAAGGATTTTGAACCCTTTTAAAATATAGGAACAACATCTGCCTATTAATAAGCTATGATTGTATAAACACAGAACTGTTGCATTGGCACTTTAAATTTATATTTTAACTTCACATTAAAAAGTGTAGAAGCATATGATTATTTGTCTTGATCAGATAAATTACATAACTTCAAGACATGATGAGAACACTGCATTTTGATTGATTCTCACAAATTACATTTATGTATTATGATGCACATTTTATGGCTCAAAGAAGACTCAGTCGGGGTTATTCAATAAAGTGAGAATTATTAGGAATTAAAAGTGAATTCAAGATGAGTATAACATTCAAGGCCAAGGTAAGCAAACTAAACGAAATTCTCAAAGTAAGCTATGCTTCCAATTCAACTATGACCTTAAATTTGATATTCATTTTGAATTGCCTACAATTATCACGTTAGTCAATTACCTTGTGAGTGTTAAAACATTGCGTGTATCTGATTTGATAACTGAAACCGCCTGTGATAAACTCCCTTTCGCAAGTGAGTTTGCCACAAGCTCCTGGAGGAGCTTGCTTGCCAGCCTCCTGCCCATAGACTATGGGCCCTGCTGGGAAACCTGTTAAAGACTATTTAACTGGCTTGGTGTGTGCGATTTCCCCTATGCTGTTCGGGAACCGAACCGCTACACGAACTATGGACCACCCGGGAGCTTGTCAAGCCTAATGGATACATTGTAACGATCCTAACCACAGTGTTCTAATGGTTCGTCTGGGTGGCCGCTGTTCATTTAGTTTAAAGGTACTTTTGGGGTGTCTGTGAAATGTATGTATTTTTTTGTGCCTG